TAATTTTGGGAATCCTGACATTCAAAATGAAATCACCATCAAGACTGAGATAAAGGCAGAAATATTTGAAAAACAAATAAACAAACGAAAAACAAAAACAAAAGCCTACTTTGGCTTTTCTTCCATAAGATGTAAATTCCCTTCACAAAGGAGGGCTCATTTATCATGCAGCACTGGACTCTGTTGAACTGGTAACAGTATTAGTAGTGGACTTACAGGTTTACAAAAAAGTCCATTCAAAGTTAAAACTAAAATAATCAGCAACTTATTTAGTTAAACAGCAATATGGGTAATCTCTTATGGAGCTTTCATTTTCTATTTCTTTTCTAAAAGTGTCTCCCGGTTATATACTTTATACTTGGCCTATGGAAGAACACTATCAAAAACTTTCTTTAAGGATACGAGTTATGGCTAGAATGCCTGTCATCCTGGCCTCTTATGCAAAAAAAAAAAAAAAAGGGAAAGTGTTTAGACTATTTTTATAAGTAAATCTTACACTGGGTTCCATGAAGGAACATGGTTTTAGACTAAAGTGCTTAAAAAGACTGCTCCACAATGTCATTGCCAAAGAACTTCAGGAATCATTTGTTCCAAATTCTTTTACAGAGTAGGAAATAAAGCCTGTTAGAATTCATCAGAAAAAAAGTGATGCATTCTTATTCCTTCTAGCCTAGTTTGAACATTGCATTCTATTAACTCTTATCTGATCATCTACCAATATGTATTTTCCTGATTCTATCATCTATACCTGTCTCAATTTTGCGTGGTTTAGAATAGCTTACTATTCAAGTTGTATTAAGGTATAACATTTGTATTTTGCTATCATCGACTTTTCTGAGTATTTGCATATTCATATGCTTACCTTAGAGTGAAGTGCAGTATAGTATAAGGGTTAGGTGCAGAGGCATTGGCATTAGATCTCTTGATTACAATCCCAGTTCTGTATTTATCTAACCCTACGATCCTGGAGAGGTTACTTAATTATTTTAAATATTACTTTCCTTATCTACAAAATGAGGATAATAACATAGGGCTGATGGGAGATTCGACAGAGATAACATATACAACCTGCCTAGCAAATGGTAAACTGATATATTGTACACAAAAGTAGTAAGACTAGTAATAGTAGTGGTAGCAAAGAATAGTTTGAGGATCCCAGCAGGGAGGAAGAAAGTCACACTGCACAACTGAATAATGTCTAACACAATCTCTAGTGTACATATCTATTATAATAATGATAACCTATAAGAATCATTTAACTATACAAAATATAACTGCATGGAGAATCACTGAGTAATTGCTCACGTTTTTGTAATAATGATATCAAAGCACACTCCAGGCATCAGAGAACTGACCAATTTCACACGTATCAGGTAAATATAAGAGCATGAAGGTCTCCATTAATCTGCAATGACTTCTATTTCTAAGGGGCAGGATCTTCCAGATTTAAAAAGAAGAGAAGCAACGAGGAGACATTTATTCAAGAGCATTTACCAGGGTCCTATTATGCTATATTGAGATTACAACCACAGCCTTTCTCAGACCTCGCACTGTAGGCTGTCTCATCAGTCTTCATGGGGGTTAAGCACTTGAATGCTTAAGTCAGAATGCTTTGGTTTGAACTCTGGCTCTGCCACTTACTAGCTACATGACTGGAACAGATCACTTAGTGTCTCTGTGCTTCATTTTCCACATTTGTAAATGGGGATAACACTAGAACCTACCTCATAGAGATGAAATAAAAAATAAGAGATTATAATTGAGATGTGCTTAGAAATTACCTATACAAAGTAAGCATTTATAAAACCGTTAGCTAATATGGTTTAAAAGAAAAAAAAGTAAACCTTTTTCTCTAAGTTAAAAGGCAAAGATGTCTATAGGGAATGAAATGGTCTTTGGTCTAAAACCAATTAAATTCTTGTTTTCATGTTCGGAAGTGACTTTTGTCCTACCATATACTTCACACCTAAGAGTAAACCTTTTTCTCTAAGTTAAAAGGCAAAGATGTCTATAGGGAATGAAATGGTCTTTGGTCTAAAACCTATTAAATTCTTGTTTTCATGTTCGGAAGTGACTTTTGTCCTACCATATACTTCACACCTAAGTTTTCATTCCCAAGAATTAAAGAGACAAAGAACCTTGGAAGTAAACCCAAGTATCACTGAATCTGATTTATAATGGACTTTATTTTTTATCAGGACAAAAAGAAAATCACTCTACAGCAGTGGTATATAACAAAAATTAAAAACAAAATAATGAACCAAAAGATATCAGTAAGAAAATCAGGAAATCAGAGTGATTGTAAAGATGAGATAATGGAAGATTTAAGCAGAGGTTGTTAGTTGTCCCAGTACCCATTCTGACACTATCTCAAAACAACTGGACATTTATTTGGTATGTAGCCAACCAGAACAAAGACTACATTCTTAGCTTTCCTGAACCTAAGTGAGACTACCCGACTGAGTTGTGGCCAGTGGGATGTAAGTGTCTTAAGGCAGCTACTGAAGACCATCTTGAAAAGAAAATTGGCACAGGCTTTTGCTTCTGTCTTCTTCATTCCTCCTCTGCCCTCTAACTGGAATAGGATGCTAGCTGGATCGTGTGCATGAGGGCACATCTGGGGCCAGTGTGCGTGGTTGTGCCTATAGTGCAGCGCATAGCTGTACATGGGTCATAGCAACAAACTAAGGAGAGAGGCACTAAAAGGTGGGTGCAGCCAAGGTCTCTAACAATTGGGAAGCCACAGAACCAGCGCTGGACAGCTGGTCTCTTGATCTGGTTTGTGAGAGAATAAAACTTTGTATGATTAAGCTAGTGTTAACATGGGTTTTACATTGTGGGAAGCAAGCATAATTCTAATGTATACAGCTAGGAATGTCTAGTTGTCTCTTTTCATATTTGTACTGAAATGCAGCAATAAATGTAGAATTAAAGCAGCTCCAGAACTAGGAACATAGTCACTGTATACACATTTCTTGGAAATGTGTACATGGCCATCCAGACCCAAGAGGAAACTTAAGTAACCAAAGTGCAGATATAGCAGCTATAATTAGGAGGGTAGGTCATAAGTGTTTTCTTTTTTTAGTGGTGGGGAGTTCAGCAATAAATGCATTATCCATAACAGGAATATCTAAAACGCATAATTTTTTCTTTTCCTTTATACTTTCCTGAATTTTCCAAAAATTATTAATAACTATGTACTACATTTATAATAACAAAGGATTAATTTAAACGCACAAATAAAAATGATGCAACAACACAGCATAATTTGTCAAAAACATCATTTTTGAGAATCAGTGTATTTTCCCATTAGAATGTTATCTACTTCTTAGGTACCCTCTGCTTAACTCTACAAAGCAGGCACTTTCCTGCCTTCACTAACACTGCACCTGGAGTGTTTCTGTCTGCCAAAGCCTCACCTCTCATCCAAAATGGTATGAATTTGGCCTAGCTCTGATGGTATGTTTAAATATCAGCTTGTCAATGATGTCTTTCTTTTTGTGTAAGTGTTAGCTCTTTCCCTAAATCCCCATATCAATTTCTGTGGCATATAATACATCACTTTTTGCATTATACTATTGCTATTAGTAAACATGTTTCATATCTCTAAGAATAGAGTTCTCTGGAGCATATCCTTCTTTGTCTTTACATTTATGTGTTCATTCATTTGTTCATTCACAGGTTCACTTATTCAACTGACATCTGATTATTGACTATCTCTCTATGATGTGCCAAATATTGTATAAGACACAGGGAGATGTGAAGAAAAATAAAGTATATTCTGTTCATTCAAAAAATGAGATAACCATGAATAAGAGGAGACAAACTAGCAGTAGGTAAATGTAATACAATGTGATAATTTCTATGGCAGAGAAATGTACACAATGCTAAAGTGACAGAATGCTTAATTCTACTTGAAGGAAGTCAGGAAGGACGTCACAGAAGTATTGGCTGTTAAATTAATTTTTTACAAGGACAAATAGGCATTTCCATGCAGATGAGATGACTGGATGGAAATTAAGATGGGGGAATAGACAACGTGAATCCCATAATAGTGAAAATATATTGCTGGAAAGGAAAGGTCAGTTTTGTGTGGCTAGAGGCACAGGGTGTGAAGCGGGCTTGCGAAGGACTAGATTTGAATGTCACATTTCACCCAGTGCTTTGAACATAGCATTGATTTAACAAATGCTTGTTGATCATTGCAGACATAGGACTATGTACTATACAGCAGGCATTGTGAACACTGGCTAACTGACCGCACCTTAGGAGATATTTAAGGACAGCAAGCCTGACTAAGGCACACAGTTGCAATGCACTGCCTCAATTTTCACGTTTCCCCGGATCAGAAGACTGAGTCTATGTTTTATTTGATTATAATGTGACTTTCAGAGCAGAAGAACATTACATTGGTAAATTCCCAGATCATTATTGTTTACTCAGCCTGTATTAGAAAGCTTGACTGAATTCAGTAAATGTGATCACCCAAATGATATACTGTCATTCTAGTTAAGGAACTTTTGAGGGAACACAGCCTGGTTGCCAAAATGGGTTTCCTCAGCATGAAATGATTTATTCCACTACTCAAATTTGAAATAAGTAAACATGATATTAAACAATCAAGAGAGGGGAACTTATAGGTTCAACTGAGAAGGATAAAATTTAATACTGTAAATATAATAGTATTACTGGGTTTTCAAGAGTATATCCTGAGAAATCAAATTGTTGTGCTCAACAAAGAAGGAAACTACATTCCAAATGGTAACTGCCATATTTTTCTACCTTCAGAAATTTTCTAGTATCCATATTCAAGCATTTGTAATAGGATTTTTTGTTTTTAATAGGAAGAGGTAATATTGTGTCTTCTGAGCTTTTGTTCTGAATCTTTGTTCTTAACTGTTGCATTCCAGGCAAACTGCACAGAGCAAAGGGACAAGGGGGCAGAGTTGGTGTCAGCGCACAGATCAGGGTCCAAAGAAGAAAACAAGTTTGTTTCTTACCTTCAATAGGTTTTGGTACAAAATGTGATGAGGGCTTGGTTTTCTTCACTCTGTTCCCCTTCATAATTTGACCTTCTTTATTGAGTCCTAGAAACCACGCTCGGCCTGATTCTTGCTGGCGGTACAGTGTGGAAGAATAGATCACATAGTAGTTTTCAAACACAGATTCTTTAAATTTGCATTCTGGAGTGAAAACATCCTGCAGAAAAAAAGAAGGTACAGAACAGAGAAAGGATTAAAAAATGAATCAGCAAATGCTTATATCCAATGAGCCTGAATTTCACGTCTTCTTTTAAGAGTAAATGAGAGGCAACTGCATACAATTTCTATTAGCATTTGGTTATAAAGATTCATCGCACAAAAGCAAGAAACAGGATTTCCCTGCTAGTCAACTTTTACTCCAGAGAGCACAACTGCTCACGCTTGAGTCTCTCATTGGGCCAAAATTATTCAAGACTGTCGCCGAGTCTGAACTCTGAGCCCAGCATAATGTTTTGTACATTGAAGTGATTGGCCATTCATCATTTTATTGGCTCTTAGAATGTAAATAAGGTACTAGAATTTATCCCTGGGAATCAAAATCAAACACAACCACAGCAGACACAGCAGACCAGATGTTTTTGAAGGGACTACCCTGTAAGTACAAAAATCTATTAGACAGCTCAAACTTGTTCATAAAATCACCTGCATACTACCTCTTTGTCTAATGTAAAGTAACTTTCCCTTTAATTTCTTTAAAACATTTCAAAATCTTAGATAAAAAACTCAGAAATAAGTAACAGACAAAAATATTACTAATACATTGAAGAATCCTCAATGAAACACAGAATGAGAGTTTTAGTCCAAGAAGGAAGCTTAAGATCCTCTACCTCAACCCCATCATTTGATAAGTGAGAAAGCCAAAAGGTTATATGATTAATTCAAAGATACATGAAAAAATTACTCAGTCAATGCCCAAACTCACATTTATTGCTTTGCAACCATTGCCTCTCAAGCTCACCTTTTCTGCCTGAGTCTTGTTTAGTGATTTAAAATGAAATTTTATAATAAATGCAATAAAATAATATCCTAATGTGGTAAATGAACAAATGCATTTTGTGGGAAAAGGAAATTTCTCCCCTTCTGAGATAAGCAGAAGAAAAACAAATGTGATAGCATCATCTTCCTCTACAAGCAAATAAAAATCCCACATGTCAAACATACTCGCAGTAGTCCCTGTCTTCTATACTATGTACTGGAAGAATTTCAATGTGAGGCTCCCACGACTTAATGCAGTTACACCTGAAATTAAGCTATTGATGGATACATAGGGATAAAGCTGGTTGAAACCAAGTCCTTGTAGGTGATACTCCCAAACTAATCTCTTGGCTTCATTTGTAGGGGGCTAAGGGATGCATAAATGGGTGGCTAGTGAAGGCCTTCAGTGTTAATTTTCAGTAATTTTAACGTTACAGAACAAAAAATGAGATTAAGAAAATGAGAATGGAAAGGTGGTTGTTGATATTAAAATAATATAATAGTAATAAAAATTAATATTATTTTTATATTAATACTAAAAATACTATTTCTTAGCATACTCTCGGTTTTAAGTAAACTGGCTGGCTTAAGAACCAGAGAAACTAAACACTATGAGATACTACTTTACATCCACTGCGATGGCTATAATAAAAAAATGGATAATAAAAAGTGTTAGTGAGGATGTAGGGAGACTGCAACTCTCATAGATTGCTGGTGGGAATGCAAAATGATACAGCAGCTGTGGAAAGTAGGTTGGCAGCTCCTCAAAAGGTTAAACATACAGTTACCAGGTGATCTAACAATTCTCCTTCTAGGCATATACCTAAGAGAAATGAAAACGTGACCACACAAAAACTTGTAGACAAATGTTTATAGCAGCATTATTCATAATGTGGAAACAACACAAAAATCTATCAGCTGACAAATGGAAAAACAAAATGTGGTTTATCCATACAATATAATGTTATTCAACCATAAACAGGGATGGAATACTGATTCATATGACAACATGGATGAATTTCAAAAACATGTGCCAAGTGAAAGAGGCTAGATGCAAAAGGTCACATTTGTATGACTCCATTTATGTGAAATGCTCAGAATAAGCAAATCCAGAGATGGAAATAGAGTAGTGCTTGTCAAGGGCTGGGGACAGGGAGATTGGTAAATGGGGATTAATTGCTTTTTTGGAGAGATGAAAATGTTTTGGAATTAAACAGTGGTGATATTTGCACAACTTTGTGAATAGACTAAAAACCACTGAAGCATATGCTTTAGAAATGTGAAATTTATGGCATGTTAATTACATCTCAGTAAAAAAAGAAAGAAACAGAGAAACAAAGTGACTAGAGCAAGTGAGGGGAAAGAATGAAACTATTGCATAGTCCCTGTCTGACAGCACAGGACTAAATGGTGGACCCTTGTGCTGGAAATCAGGCTATGGCCTTATCTCAATACTGCGAAAGAAACAGAGAAACAAAGTGACTAGAGCAAGTGAGGGGAAAGAATGAAACTATTGCATAGTCCCTGTCTGACAACACAGGACTAAATGGTGGACCCTTGTGCTGGAAATCAGGCTATGGCCTTATCTCAATACTGCTAGGACAAAATTTAATCATTGCCAAGGACAGGGATCAAAGTGATTCAGATTCAATGTATGAGACAAAATAACCCCAAAGCTTTTGTTTTTACATTTAGTTATATTATACCAAGATGTTAAGGGACTCTTGAGAGTTTAAGGAAAATATCTATGTATAAGATTTCAGACTTTATAAAAGGAGTTAGGCAAAATATATGGAGCAAGGAATTGTGTATAAATACATATAGTCATATATGTAGATAGTGCTACAACCTACTTAGGAGTAAACGTGACAGAAATATGTAAATTTGGAGAGAGATGTGAAGCTGCTTAGTGATAGTTCAATTTGGCGCCTTTATTTAACAAGGTAACTAAAGTCCATGAGAGTGAAATAATCATGCCCAGAATTATGGGAAGTTAGAGGCAGATGCAGATGCAGACCCTGGGCTAAAACAAGTCTCCTGGCTGCTGGTCCAGTACTTCTTCCAAAGCCACACATCGCTTTCCTACGACATAGCTAAGCCTGCTTTTGATGCCAAGCTGTTGATTCAAGAAAGACTTAGTCATTATCGTGAAAGCCATGTAAGCCACATATAATTAGTATGTTGTCCTTTATACATGAGAAAAATAACACTTTCATTTAATAATTAATGAACTCCTCTATTTCTGTTTAGTGTCACAATTGTTTGAAGTCCCCTCCTGGAACAGCATAAGTCCAGAATATTGGGAAGGGGCTGAAGTCCTGGGGGCCCTATCCATGAACAGCATTAGATGGGGACTCAGACTTGAACTACTGAGTTGACAAATGGGGGATCCCATATACAGCATTCAGGTCCTAATCAGAAATGAAAAGTCGGGCTGGCCAGTTAGCTGAGTTGGTTAGAGCATGGTGCTGATAAAACCAAGGTCCAGGGTTTGATCCCTGTACTGGCAGTCAGCCAAAAACGAAATACAGCAAAAAGAAATCAAAAGCCAAGTGGAGTATCCCATTTAATATCATTCCAAAGGGGCTAGGCAGAGTCAGAATTTAGAAACGAGTCCAACTCTTAATGCTGGACCAGGGCAAGACATTTCAGTGGGGAAACATGGCAGGAGTTTGTGCAGACACTTCTGTGGACACAGGCAGCCTCCCTTAGAAACTGGAAGGGAAATTTTAAGGGTTGAGCCAGCTTTGACACTCTCTCTAAGTGTAGCCTTTACAATATATACACAATTTCAATATGGAGTTGGGCATCAAAAAATTTACACTCTATTTGCTAATATCACTCATTTTGTATAATGAAAAATCAGAGCCCTAGACTTGGAGTAAGAAAATTAATCAGGGTTTTGCTCCTAGCTCTGTACATACTAGGTGAGTGATTAAAACTCTTTGAATTTTAATTTCACATTTTTCAAATGTAAATTAAGTTACTTTAAGGAAAATGAGATGATGCATATGAAGGCATGTTGTAAGCTTTTAGTATTTGCAAAACCCCCAACTCATCACTATTCTTATGTTTTTTTCTTATAGCAAGAAATATACAATTAGTCATATAACAAGACAATTAATTCTGTGCTTTTGTCACACATGTCTATATCTGCTCTGGCATCCAGGACCCTATGCCATAACTGTAGCTAAAACAAATTTCACATACATAGACATTTTTAAAAAATCATCTAAAGCTTTTGGCAAAGACTTGGGCAATCATATATTCAGAAGACATTGAAGGTTATAAAATACATGATGGAGACAGGCAGCCTTGGAGCCAAAGGTGTTAAAATCCTAGCCCACCTTGATCCAGTGCATATAATGAAAGCAGTGTAAATAATCAGTATAATAAGGATTTTCTTCCCTTTTGAAAAACTAATCAGTAGTCACGTTGCATATAATGAATTTTGTTTATCCCTATAATTTTGAGCTCTCAGTTCAATGTAGAGTCCATAGCAAGGCTTACAGAAATATTTGTTGATAAAATAGATACAACCTGACATGCACATCATATATGCATATATGTGGAATGCTAGGTTTATTTTTCACAGTTATTACTCTACAATCTTCCCATTGTTCATCTGAAGTTGACTTCTAATTCAGTGGAATGCAAATATTTTGATAGTGCCCTGAAATTATTTTTGAGCACTCATTCTTTTAACAGCATTTGCACAACTGTGTTCTTCTTCTAGCTTTGTACAAGCCAATATTTGATCAATTCTTTTTTGCATTCCAAACACCTATACAACCTAGCCTTGTCCTCGAAAGTTGAGAACTACTACCCATTTCAATCCAGATGATGAATGAATGCTGGAACACTGTGCAAACCCCAAATGATCCCTCAGGACCCCAACCAGTCTTTTTCCATCCCATTTCATTCCAATCTACTTCCTATCTAGAATTCTTCTTCCTGATCACCAACTTATAGTTTCATACTCTACCTCGATCCCTCTCCCACACTGAATTTCTTCCTGACTGTTCTCTCTGCACTTAAATCACTGATACCCTACATATTTTCTGGACTCTCTGTGTCTGCCATTGCCTCACTAAGTCCCTTCCTTCATGTCCAGCCTCTAACTGTGACAGCCTTGCCCCTTCCCACCCATATTTGAATGAAATTCTCCCTAAGACATAAATA